TCCTGTAGTAGCTCCTTACGGAACTACATTCCTAAAAATATGTTAATAAAGTCAAAAGACCAAAGAGGTCACCTTAACATCAAAAAAAAAAAAAATTAAATTACTACAATTTATTACAAAATTTATAAAATATATATAATTTGTTAACTAACTAATATTTAATTAATATTTAAATACTAATTATTTAATATAAATAGAATTAGGAGTGTGGTAATCTAGTAAAGTGGTCAGGTTGTCAACTTTCAAGTGGCAGGTCTAGAGTTCAAATCCCAGTGTTAACAGGAAATTTGAAAATCCTTCTTGTGTTATGATTAACTATCTCTTGCAATTGGTTGGAATAAGATACCAGTAATCTATATTACACCAGCATGACTGGCAGGTCACATGGCATTTGTGTAACAGTCACATGACATTGTTCTTTGGGACAAGATCTGTAGTTATATGAAAGAATACAAACTGGTACCAGGTAGTGCAAACCTACAATAAGTTCTCGTAGCTATGTAAATCATAAAAACCAATAAAAAAAAAATAGAAGCCTACTTGGAAGACTCAAATAAAGAGGTAACCTGAGCTTTTGATGGTGCTACTGTAAAGACTAGACTTATAAAACAGAGCTAAAACTTGTGAAACTGAGCAAATGTGCTGGTCTTTGAGAAGAAACCAGATGAATCAACCAAGCTATTAGAATTTTTGGGTTCTGAAAGAAAAAAGTATATGCTAGCAAATATGTAAACCAAAGGTGTATAGTTTTGACCTACTTTCTGGGCTATCTGGAATGGCAGCTTGGTGGAACTTGAATTGAATACCAAAGTAGTAAGAATATGTTGTAAAGTCAGTACCAGGATTAAGGTGAACTCTACAAGGGCATAGCAATTTAATGATACATCCTGACTGTTAGTGTTGGTCTCAGTCATAGTAATATTGGGTCAGTTGTAAGAATAGAATATAGAAGATTCTGGAAGGTTTAGTACAAGGTCAAAGGTTCACCATATAAGTGAACTGCTTTAAAGACTTAGTGGTCATGGTATATTTTCATTAGCATTGGTCAGAGTCATTGGTAAGCAGAAGTAGATAGATAAATATGAAAACAGAGTAGTTAAATAGGGAATCTACAAGTAGGTTCCAGGTATGGCAACTAGTATAGAACCTTTGGGCAGACTACTTAAATTAGATAATGACTAAAGTTGTACAAGTGGCTAGTTGTATACTTTCTCTATGATTGATCCCTGTAGTTGTAAAGCAATTATTAGCTAAATATACTATCAATAAAATCTTGGGTTACAAGTATTTATCTTAATATTTAAAAAATATATATATATAAATAGGATTAAAGCCACAATTTTTATTGTTTAATTGTTTAACTGTTTAACCTTTTAATTTGGCTAGCATTAAATAATTCTGACCCACAACTAACATAATTCTGCCTGGAACTATTGAGCAATTTTTAAATAGTTAAATAGTTCTAATCCTTATACTACTGGTACAATTAAATAGAAATTTTATTAAACATCAAGCAAGTAAAATATTACATTTTAAACTTCATACTTAAATGCTGCTAAGCAAAATATGTAATTCTTGATTTTATATAGTTCACTTGACAAGATATGAACTTAACAAATGTTTCTATAATAAATATTCAATGTAACAATAAATGCAGAATGCTAAAATAAATACTGTATATGTATATTCACAAGCATTATTGGAAATCAGATTCTTTAAAATAGAAACATAGCTCTAAATTAATGCTCATGAGAGCCTTAAATTAATGCATATCTTTATTAATGTAATAAATGGCATGTTGGATTCTGAAATTAACTCTAATTTCAAAATAATATATATAAACATATCCAAGATAATATGCAAGTGGGCCTCATTTTTTGTATCTGAAAGTTGAACTTATTTTTTTTTTTTTTTGATAAAAATCATCTATATAGTTAGACTAACAGTTTTGAAAAACTGTCTTGATAAAGTTATAATGAGTCAATACAAATAAATGTATATAAACATATATGGTTCATTGATCTGATTATAGAAAAAAAGGTACTGAAAGTGGCAATTCGAGTATAAAAAATATCTTGGATAAACCAGTTCAATGAAAATTTGAAGAGGCAAATAACCTTGAAAAAAACTGATTCAAAAATACTAACCAAATATAAAAGTTAATTTAAAGAAATCATTATCAATATGAATAAATAAAAGAGAAAAATTTTGAGATAGGCTGAGATAATACATATGAAAATTAGAAAAACAGAAAGGTTAATGAGAAGAAAAATCAAATATTCAAATAAAAAAAAAAATAGATTGAATAATACTCCTATTGTGAAGCCCAAAACTAAAGTTAAGAATTAATAATCGAAAATGTTAAACTTAATGTATTTAAATTATAAAAAAGAAGGTTTTTTAAATCAATAAAATATTAAATTACAATAAATTGATAAAATTTTATTATTCTATCTTGAATAAATTTTGTAAGTCATTCAAGTTAATAAAGTCTTAAAGCATTCTTTTTTCTAAATAAATCAAAAAAAAAATGAATAGTTCAAATGCAAAGCAATACATTAAATGCTTAGAAATCATTATATATTAATCATGATGATGATGAATATAGCAGTAAAAATAATAGTGATATTAGCAGTAATAAGATGTTTGAAGAAAATACTATAATAGATGAAGAAGAAGCAGAGAATATTATTGATAAATTAAATGAATTTAAACAAAAGAAAAAACCAAAAAGGCTTCTTGTTTATGTAGGAAATTCTGTAAGAACTTACTAGCAAAAACATTTTGAAAGCAAAAAGATGGCTATAGAATCTGCTTATATAACCAACTTTTTGACATGCATAATAATTCAAATTAGAAAAATAAAAGTAGTAGAGAAAGTAGTTTAAATAATAAGTACTCCCAAATTCTAAAATCAGAAGAGAGTAATTTAGATGATGAGTAATATCAAGAAGCAGAGATTAATGAATTTCAAAATGATAAAAACATAAAAACTACAATTGAAAGAATTAGAAATTTAATAAAAAATAAAAAACCTTAAAAAGTTGAGTTAATTCAGTATCAATTAGTTGTTGGATATCTGTGCCTGTTTCAAAGTAGAAAAAAAAGAGAGAATTGATTAAAACTATTGCTTTAATATATAAAAAAGGTTCGTATTGAGCTCAAAATATAAGAAGATAGGCAACAATATGTTTAAAAGATTAGTATTAATGTATTTAAAGTATTATTTATACATTACCCAAATTTATTTCTATTTAAAATTTTTATAATAAGTGAAGCAGTATCTCTAAGCTATTAAGAAAGACATTCATCCAAGTCTCTTCTTCATAGTGTATGCATGTAGCTGGTTATCTTAGATCAAATAAATTTAAAATAAGCACTTATTTAGTAAAACAATACCTTGAAAAAAAGATACTTCTTAATCTTGGATTTGATATACTACAAATAATAAGTGTTCAAATAGTGTAATGATAGATGCATTACTTAAATTTTATATACAAATGATATCAAAAGGAAATTTATGTTAATAGTCATAAATGTTTTGACATGATGGTATACAGAAATAAGTTTCTAAATCAAATTGCCAAATATAAGTCCTTAATGTCTAAATGACTTGACAAAGAATATTTAATAAGAACTCCTTTAATATTAAATCTAAATCAAAAACTACATATTTTAATAATATATGACAAGTCAACTTTTTATGTATATAATGAAATATGTGCTTTCTAAAGATCACATAAAGAACAACTTTTAAAGAAAAAAGACACAGATACAGATTTACATATAAGTAATTTTTTGTCAGAAGAAATTAAGTAACTAAAGAATGATAAGAATGAAGCACAAGTAATAATAACACTAGGTGCAAATAAAAATAGTTATTGAAATAGTGAGCTGTTGCTAGAGCAGATAAAAAGAGTAATTACAATATTTGAACAAACACACCTAGGGGCTATTGGAATATGGATATTTGATAACTCAACAATCTATATGATAATAACATCAGATGTACTAAATGTGAAAAAGATGAATATGTATCTCAGTGGATCTCAACCAAAGATGTATTCAACTAAATAAAATAGGCATGACCAAGAAATGATTTATTCTCTTGATCATCCAAAAAAAAAGCTACAGGGTCAAGCAAAAGATATAAAAAAAAATAATAAAAAAAAGTAATAAATAAAAAAAAAAAAAAAAAATTTTTTTGGTCAAATGCATGTTTAGACAAAAAGAAAGGTTCAGGTATAGGTTTGCTAATTAGCAATCAATAGGAAAAAC